TTTACAAAAAAAGAAATAACAGAAGAAAATCGCTGGCATATAAAAATAATAAAAATGGAAACATGACTGAAAAAGTAGACATGGTACATTTTACGGCTTAATAAAAAGCTCAAACAGATTCAGTGGAGTCATATTCTAATTCTCAGTTTTATTCTAGTTCTTCAGTGAAGTTCTAGCTTAACTTTAGATAAGTCATAACTTTTTTATGCCTCAGTTTCTCCATCTATAAAATATGTATTTCTTTACACTTTAAAAGGATCCTATGAGGTGACAGTAAAAGAGGAAAAGAAGAAGGAAGAACAGAGATATATGGTTTGGGACGTAATGGCTTTCTGGGAATGTAGAAATGGTGATTCGTATAAACATGTAAAAGAGACTGCAGAGAAAACAGTATGAACCATACGAAGGGAAAAGAAGAGGGGGCGATAAGGAAGAAGACGGACAACATTCTGAATGAACTGTGCTAATAAGAAACCACTGTATTGTTCTAGAGACGTATTTTTGTATGTGTGTTTGTAATGTGTGTGAGTACCACTCAGTTAAGATGCAATAAAATTGTATGTGAAAGAAAAGATCAGTGAAGATGCTTTAATATTTTAGAATGCAATGAAAGATAGATAAATAAAGCCAAAGTGGCATCATTAGAAAAATAAGGAGTCAAGAGATAATTGGGTGGGTGGGTGGGTGGGGAGGGAGAGGAAGGAGAACACCAATTTAGGTAGAAAGGAACAGGAGAAACAGAGTGGGCAGGGAAGAGGCGAGCCACAGAGCCAGCTGCTATATGTCAGCAAAGAGCCCACCCCAGAAAACCCAAGCTGTTTTCAACAGCAAGCCCAACACTGTATGGATGATCAAATAAACAGGAAAAGAGACTACCACTACTGAAAATTTAATAAAAGCAAAACAAGAAGGTGGGAAGAAAACTGAATTGTAATACTATGAACGATACATGCTTGACCAATGGTCCCACTTGACATACGTCCCTGTCAACTGGACGCCACTTAAACTACCAGAGTTGTTGTCTAGCTTGCATTCTCTGGAACAGGGAGAAGCTGACAGGAGAGAAGAGTCACGTGTAGATTTAAATTCTGGGGGACAAGACGGGTCTCTCTTTTCTACTATTTAGGGTTTCACTGAACTTTTCAGCATTTTATGACTTTTAGTAAAAGAATGTCACTAAATGTTTCAGAACTTGGGTTTCCTCATCAGTAAATGTATAAGATTATTTGGTTTCAGTTGAGGATCTTTCCATTTCTCCCAGGTTTTAATGTCTTAGGCTTTAAACAAGTTTGGTTACAGTGGAGAAAAGTTGTTGGAAATCACCATGATTCCTCATGATTCCGTGAGATACCTACACGGAACTGTAGGTTCCAAGGAAGCGGACAAGTCTATTGGGCTTAAAATAAATGCCACTTTTAAGCCGAAGGAAAGAAATCCTTTGGCATATTCAATTAATCATGCTGAGCTTTTGCAAATGGTAGTGATTCCTATGTCACTGTGGTAACAATGGTTTGCCGTGCAACACAATACAACGAGGTTTAAGACAAAGGAAAACAAATTTGGCCTAAGATGAAAATACTAATACGTTCTTATACTACAGAGTCTGTTAAGCAATCTCTCTCATCCAGAAATACATTTTCTTCCAAGATGACACTATAGTTCTCTGGCTACAATTTAATTAATCAGCCCTTTTTATAGTAGTCTAAGTTTGCAGCCCCTCAAAGTCAGTTCTTTCCATATAAATAGAAGGCAAGAAAAATTTTAAAGCCCAGCCAAAGAAACAAAATGAACAGTTCAAGAAGGGGCCCCAGTGAGAAATAGAAACTTAACTATTATCATGGCAAATAAAGATTCTGGTAGTGGAAAACCACTAAGCACACACAGAAAAATTTCAGAATTAAAAAAACAATGCATATATATTTTCCAGTTCTGTATTAGGTTTCTTAAAGATCTAGATGGATGCATATAGATTAGTATCGTGAAAACATGAAATTATATTACCTTATGCAAGAAATACCCATTTTAGGAAACCTGATGCAGCTACTATTCCTTTGGACAACTAAGAATGTGCTATATTGACTTTTAGTACAATAAAGAATGTTTTAATTTTTAAAAAGTCAGTGGAAAGGGGAGTCATTCCAGTGTTTACAGTATTACAACCTTAATACTAGCAGGTAGATTGGTTGGGGAATTACAGAGCGGACACAATTACTAGGATTGTGTCTCTTCCACTCTCTCAGACTCCAGGATAAAGAAGAATCAATTAGCCCTCGACAGACTATGACCTTGAAGGCTACAGTTCTGTGTATAATATGCTGAATATGCTGAGGCAGATAGAATGGGGAGAGTTACGTCCTGTAACCACTGAAGGACATGCTTCAGATACGATAACGTCATGTTACGATGTACACAATCGTAGCTTGGTTCATGTCAAAATCATGCATGACAGAAGGAAAGGTCTGGTTCTTCCTGTGACGAAGCATTACTTTCATAAAGAGAACAAAGTGAACGAGCTCACAAATGACAGTTTAATTCCAAGCTCTTTTTTTTCTTTTTGTGTGTGTGTGTGTGTGTTTTTTAAGTCAATGGTTACAAGCTTTTTCAAACAACAAAAGCAACCACTTATGAGTGTCTGAAAACAAAGCTTCCTGGACCAATCCCCCTACCCTCCCAACCTGCCCCAAAACCAGACTCATAATTTTTAGGATATTCATGCTTTTGCTGTTGTTTTCGGACACTAGGCCAAAAAATTAACACCCGAGTTTCCTACTCAGAAAGCCTTACAGGTGGCAAAGTGTTAAGCACTGTCTACCCCTAACTTTTCAGGAGAAAACTACTTCTGATACTGCTTTTGCAGGCTCGTCTCCAATGCACTTCATAGTGCTGCAGCTGTGTCTGGCCAGAACTGGCCTCCGCGATGCTTTTAGGCAGCAGTAAATCTTTTCCACTCAATGCAAATGCCAGAAAATCAATGCCCTGGCTTGAAAACCAGGAGAAGAAGAGAAACTGTATGGAATGCATACCCTCTTAAAACACTTAGTAGAAGAATTTACCTGAAGAAATAATTTCTCAAAAAGTCACTACATACTTTTTGACATGGTCCTAGATCAGAAAAAGGGACTAGATGGTTCTCTGCTTCCCAACTCCTGTCCCCCAAAAAAGACAACAAAATTATGGAATTTACCAAAGGAGTTTTTTGTTTGTGTGCTTTGTTTCTTTGTTTTTTGAGTTTTGTTTTGTTTGTTTTGTTTTCCTTCAGAGGATCCTCTTTCTTTTTCTGGAAAACTAAACCTATCCGGTACATTCTAATTAAAGCCAAGTTTCAAACCATAAAGACAAAGAAGTAACCTTGTCTTCATGGAGAATGTTGCTTCTCTTTGCAGGAACTGCACTTGCTTTTTATAGCCTGTCATTTCATCTGGGTATTATTTCCTGGTCACTTTGCCAGGTGGGAAGAGGCGGTGAATGCAGTGATGTCTGTCAGACCTTTAATGATGCTTCAGGGATTTGATAAAGACCCAGAGCAGTGTCTGCAGAAAGGAGGTTCTTTACTAATTACACCTGAAAAACAAGCCTCTCTTTCTTCTTCTTCTTCTTCTTCTTCTTCTTCTTCTTCTTCTTCTTCTTTTTTTTTAAATCTTTGCTACCGAAACTGCTGTGTATGAAATGATCTTGAATCACAAAGCAGATCAAGTTTTCTGCATTTCTATGCCACACGGCTCTCCCCCACACGGAACACCGTGTCTGGAAAAGATATTCTTTATTCTTCCTTACCACCCAGAGGGAAACCGAAGGGGTGAGGACTTCATCCCAAAACCCTCGCCCTCAACTCTTAAGAGATTTCCCACACGTTATTAAGAACCAGGTTCTCTCACCTTTTACTTTATTCTATGAAGGGCATATTCAGTCAAGGGTAAAAAGTAGCAGAAGGCAGAGAAACAAAAATAAATCAGAAACATTTATAAAAAGGAGGCAGAAGCCACTCCTCCCTTTTATACTGACGTGTGGAGCAAACCTGACACTGACTAGTCGTGGTTTCTGCCTTGTCAACTTTCCATTGTGAAGCACAGCAGTGACCCACTACGAGGGGCGGCACGTTCATTGTTCTGTATCGTTTTAAGAGCGTGGGCTCTCTTCACTCACAGGTTATTAAACTGCACCGGTGTAGTCTGACGGGCAAAAAAGACACATCTGAAAAAAAGACGATGCACCTTACTAATGGGTCTTGTACTTTGTAATGACTGCCAAAGAAGCTATTTAAACATTTGATTACAGAAGACAAAACTAATTTACGGAAATCCTTTCACGCAGCATCACGCAGCCCCAAACAAAATAAAGCTGCCCCTCGTAAGTGCTCAGTAGCTGAAACTACAATGTGGGCAGGACAGCAATTGCCTGCCGCTGGTGAGGGGTGAGCACTGTAAATGCGCTATCAGCAAGAACCAATTAAAACAGAAATGTGGTGAGAGCAGAGAGCAGTTAAGGGAGCACGAAGAAGGGATGGAGGCAGATAACAGGCAGCGTGGGACTACTGCATGGCAGATGGTGCCCGAAAGGTGAGGAGAGGTGATGGAAATCTACACGGGAGAAAGACAGACATGGAACCGCACTCGCTGCTATATGGAAGCCACATTGAGAGATTTAAGAAAAAGAAAGGATGCTCTGTCTGATGTGTTCATTTTTAAAAGTGTTAGAAATCAATTGCATTGCAATTAAATTCAGGCATGACTCCCAGATGCTGAAGTTTTGGGTCCCCCACCCCAGACTGAACAGTCTGGCTGGACGCAACACTGTTTAGTACCAGCAGTTTGCAAGATCGCTTTACTCCTCTCTTCAACGCCACCCCAAGCGCTCCAGTCACATGACGTGCTTAAACAAAACCATGCAATTAAAATAGAAGAAGGCAAGGAGACAGCTCCTTGCTCAAGAGGACGCCTTTTAGCGCCTCAAGCCCACCCCTTTCCATGATTCATCATCATCATCTCTCTCTCTCTACTTACAAAGTTTAGGAGCAGTTTGGAGATTAGTTTCTGTTGTTTGTGGCTGAGTTGCTGACTTGGGTGTTCTCACCTCAGGGTTCCGAGTGGGGAAAGGGAAGGACGGTGTGGTGGACGGCAGGAAAGAAAAAGCAAAAATACGATTCTTCGGGGTTGGGACCGCTGAAGGTTCAGAGGACGCAACAGCATTGTCAACTTGCAGTGTAACTTGAACCTCAGTTTCGGATTGAGCCCTAGAGACAGGTGAAGTGTACGCCTCAGATGCTACCCACACAGCTGAGGCAGCGGTTGGATCCAGAGAAATAATAGGGTCCTGGCCTAACCCCCCAGGGTCAAGGTGAGTAGGAGAGTCATACTCAAATATCTTGTCCACAAATACCCACTTGAGGCCGGCAATGCAGAGGCAGAGGCTGACTAGGCAAGCCAGAATGGGGACAATGCAGATTTTCTCTGAGTTGAGGCAACCTCTCAGGCGCTCGGCTTCCAGGCAGACACAGCAGGGAACTGCCAGGCCCACGAGGCCGGGGGTTCGCCCATCTTCAGTCTGGGTCTCTGGCATGTCTTCTGCTGCCGGAAGCCCGTCGAGAGACGGGTCTGCACTCAGCTGAGTGGAGGGGCTGGAGGACCTCTCAGCGGCTCCCTCGGACATGTCTGGGGAATAAATCTCCATCGGCTCACCTCCAGAAGGCCTGGCCTCTCTCGCGGTCCATTACCATGCAGAGCCCCCCCCAACCAAATGAGACAGCATCTTACAGGGGGAAATCGATAAGTCTTCCAAGTCCAAGGCCATTATCAAAAGCAAGAGGAGTGCAGGAGGGAGGACGGAAAAAAAAAAGAAAAAAAGAAAAAGCCTCTAGCAACTACAGAATAAAAGTATATTGTAATTCTTTACTGCTGTTTCTGAGCCACTTTGGCAGTTCTTTCAAATGCTTCTCCAAACCATCCCGGCTGGTCAAGAGGATCGGGGCCAAAATAGAAACGGAGCTGATCGTTGGCCAGTTAAGTAAACCAGTAGCCCAAACTGAAAGGCATGTTTCTCACCTCGAGCATCTGAAGCTGGTGTCTGCTTAGATGGAGAAAACAACTGTCATGCAGGAGAAGTAAAAGCAAAAGCAGGACCAGCGGCGGCGGCGGCAGCAGCGGCGGAGGCAGGAGAGGCAGCAGTGAGAGTAGCAACAGCATCCTGTTGTGTTAACGCGAAGGCTGAAAGAGGCTGAATCATTACAGAGCAGCAGGTGCCTGCCCTCCGAGCATCACTGCAAACAGTATCATCACAGAGGGATCCGGAGGGAAGAGTGCGGCCCGGAGGGGCGGTGACTCCCCTCCCCGCCCTGCCTCCACCCCCACCCCCCAACCACTCCTCTTTGTCCTTCTTGAGCGCTCATTCACTTTCTTCCCCTGCAGCTCTGTCCTGCTTCATAGTCTCCTTCTCTTCCTTTCCCCTCCTCATCCGAAGACGTTCTCTTTCTCTCTCTGTCTGCCTCTCTCTTTTCCCTCCCTCCTCCCTCTGTCCGCACTCCAGAGCTGCTGGCTGGTCTGAGTAAAATCAGTATACCCAGCGACGCAGGACTGCCAGTGACTTCCTATTTTATCCAATTAGAAGGAATAAAGGCCATCAAATCAAAGAGAAGCAGGCAGGCACCAGTTAAGCTCAGTCCCCAAGGCCCCCACCCCTTTTCTTCCCTTTCTCTTTTTCTCTCCACAAAAGCAGCCTCAGTTTTCTACCCCCAGCTTGCTTGCTTCTAGTCTTGCCGGCTCTCTTTCCTTCGCCCACTGTGGGGTCAGAAGAAGCGGGCGATCGATGCTAGCAATCTAACAAAGCTGGGATGGGGCGGGGGATGTAGGTGGGACCTTATGGGTTGGACCTGAGGCTTGGCAAAGTCTGATATCTGATTCCTCCCTAGAGAGGTAAGCTTTTCAACAGCAATTTCTTCTTGCCTGCCGCTGAGAGATAGCATTCCTTCCCCTGCCCTCTAATAAGTTTTGTTCACCAAGAGGACTGTTATTACCTGATTTTCAACCAAGCGTTAGAACAGGTTTTTCTCGAACCTTGGACAGTTCTGCCTTCAGCCCTTTTTGGCCATGACTGTGTAAGACTTCACAATGCCCAGGGTGAAGTGCTGAGCCTATGCCGGAGCAGGGGTGGGAGGGGAGGGGAGAGGTGTCCATGAACCCTCACTCTGGTCCCATTTAAATTCCCATTTCCTCTTTCCACCCACAGCAGTCCTAGACGAATGTCAAGCTAATAGGAAACATTGGTAAACAGCGCTATGAAGGGAGCAAAAGGCTACCACTTCATTTTGAAATTAGCCTGCGTTGTGACTCCACACTGCAGAGGTTTGAATTCCCTGGGCGCTGTAATATATACCACATGTCCCCTGCTAGAACCGCATTGCATGTATTAAGAAGAGTTTTCCATAACAGCGTGCCTTTTGGGTTAGCTTTCGGTAGCTTCACCCCACAGATAATTTCAGTGCTGATTTTGCCCCCCTTTTAAAGCGGCAGCCGTTAAAAGACTGGAGGAAATGCAGCCTTTAATAGAGAGCACAGGATTTCCCGAACCTCCATTCTTGCGTGTCAGGGCACACTATATGCATCTGAGCCCTTAGTCCATGCTTCACCATGACTGGACACCCAAATGGTTTCCAAGGAACCATTCTGCTCACCTATGTCAACAGGAGTCTTAAAAACGCTCTCTTAATCTCTACTACATAGCCATCATATGAGTCCCAGCAGCAATAAATTTAGAGCTCAAGCCCTGAGAAACTCTGCCTGAAGCACCTTATAGTTTGTATAGCACAATCTCCATCACTTTGAAATATTTTTAAGCTTTAAGGGGGCATGTGAGAATATTATCATTTCTTTCAAAGTAAAATTGGTCCATAATTATACATGATTTAAAGGATATTAAATCTCAAAACATGTTTGCGGTAGTATAACTAACAACAACTACAAAAGCCTGAACCAGTTTGCCTAATTGTGATTAGGACTGTGACAAGCTTATGAGCAAAATGACTTATCTTCCACATAACCTGCACTTATATACCAGCAACCAATATTTTAAAATAATAATAGTTAAAATAAGATCCTGTGCCTACTTTCTAGCTTTAATCATTTGATTTTATTATTTAAAAAAATGTTTTTTAATTTTAACTGTTTTTGAGAGACAGAGAGAGACAGAGCCTGAGTGGGGGAGGGGCAGAGAGAGAGGGAGATAAAGAACCGGAAGCAGGCTCCAGGCTCTGAACTGTCAGCACAGAGCCCTACGCTTGGCTTGAACTCAGAAAACTCAGAACGGCGAGACCATGACCTGAGCCAAAGTCAGACGCTTAAAAGACTGAGCGACCCAGGCGCTCCTAACCATTTGATTTTAAAGCAGCAAGAGTTTTCTGAAAGATCCTAGCAATGGACATGATATTTTATATCATAGAAAATCTATCTGGAAGCCCTTACCATATTCATATTGAGAGGTATTCACATTTTAGTTGTCCATATTCATGTGAATATTCAAAATCAATATGAGCAAGTAAATGTTTACACTAAATTAGGGTAATTTATAATTACTTTAGAGATCACTCAGTTTAAATACAGGGTACCTAACTCCTTACTTTTGCCCCAAACCAATATTATACCCCAGTATAATACACTGGCATTTCATTCACAGCTAATCGTCTAAGTTTCAAAAATCAAAATGGGGTTCTGGTAGCCCAATCCAGGCAGGTAAGAGAAGATGCCAATCAAGAAAGGTAGCCCATAGTTAAGAAAAGTGGTCCTCAGCTTACGCCAGTAACAGCTACCCACCTCACCTTAATCCCTGAGAACAAACATATTCCGGAGACAAAGAAATTATTGGGCGCTGCTCTATCATCTTAAAGACACTTAGGAAGGAAAACAATGTATCACACAAAGGCTAGAACCACACAGCAGAAACACAATCCTGTGGGCTGCCACAGCTGTCCCTCTCCCTGGGCTATTCAGATCTGTGGGATGTGGGCGTGTCCTCCCTGGAGATATATTCCAGGAGCCCTGTGGCACCTTGAAGATAAGATCAGCTTGCAGAAAGCTAGCATCCTGTAGATGTTTCCCACCAAATCAGAAGGTGAATGTAATTGGGAGGAGATAAAGAAAAAAAAAAAAGTATTTTTCACAAGTTCTCCCCTGAGCATAGGAACCAAAAGTTGCCTTTCTCCCTTAACCCATCCCCTATAGCAATAAAGAAATGAAAAAGGGTGGTGTGGATCACTGAGAGATCAGAATTTCCTTTGGATGAAACATGCCTGTCTGAGGGAAGAATTGCAAGGCTGTGTCACTTTAACCCTTTAGACTCCACCCCAATAAGGCCCAGGAACACCCACATTTCTGTGTCCCCTTAAAAAATGAACAAGAGACAGGTCTTTGCGACCTTTTAAAAACCACATTACCACCTCCTTCATCACAACAAAAGCTACATTTAAGGAGCTCTACCTTTGTGCCGGGCACTCAGCTAGGTTCTTAATATATACTATTTCTTATCTTCACTAATGCTGTACAATACATATTATCTTCAAGATAAATACTCAGGCAGCTTAGGTAACTTAGCCATGGACATAAAGCTATTAAGTGCTAGGGCCAAGATTTGAACAAAAGTCTGACTCATGCTGTTTCTGCTGAAAAATGCTACTTTCCTTTTTAATCACAATAATGCATCTCATTATGTATTGCTTACCGATCACTCCAATGGGAGAATAAACGGACCAGAGAGTGTAACAATGAAAAAGGCTCAGTACCTTAATGTAGTCTGTAAATAAACTTGAAGGTGCCTAGTTTTCAAAATAAGAGCTTTCTAAAATTTTGTGTAGTGATATCCAGAACTTATAAGGATTACACATAGGCTATTTAGGGGCGCCTGGGTGGCTTAGTCTGTGAAGCATCCAATTCTCAGTTTGGCTCAGGTCATGATCTTGTGGTTTGTGAGTCTGAGTCCTGCATCAAGCTCTGTGCTGTCACCGCAAGCCTGCTTGGGGTTCCCTCTCTCCCTTTCTCTCTGCCCCTCCTGCTCTCTTTCTCTCTGTCTCAAAATAAATAAGCAAACTTAAAAAAAAAAGCATAGGGTATTTAAATGCTACCTATTTATAACTTAAATGGAAGGAGATCTTCCACAGTCCAGAAGTCTGGAAATTTCTGGAATTTTCTCTGGTAAGCTCTTTTCCACAACTTGCCCTGAAACAGCTTAAAACAACACCCGTTCGTTGTATTTTCTCACTCATCTGTGGGTTGACTGAGTTAGGCTGAGTGGTTCTTCTGCTGCATTTGATGTCAGCTGGGGTTGCAATCAGCTAGGGTACATCTGAGCTGAAACACTGAGGATGGCACACACATGACTGGCAGCCGATGCTAGGTGTCAGCCGGGAGCTCGGCAGGGACTGTGGAAGGGTGCACCGCCATATGTCCTCTCTGTGTGGCTTGGGCTCCTCACAGAATGGGGGCTGGGTTCTGGGCAGAAGCGTCCCAAGAGGGAGGAAGCCCAAGCAGCTAGCCCTCTGGAGGCCTGAATCTAGAGGCTGCAGGGGTTATTTCCATCGCATCCTACTGGGTAAGCAGTCACAGCGCCAGCTGAGATTCAAGAACGGGGGAAATAGGTCTTGATGGGGACAGTGACAAAGAACTGCAGCCATTATTAATCCACCGCAGAAGAGAAGGAAGTAACTGTTAGTAAGTCAACCTGGTGTCAGGAGGAGGCTGTAATACAGAACAGGATTTGGCAGAACAAAATCAAATACACTTGTATTTCTGATCCACTTTCACAATATTCCAGCTTCTGTCTAAGCCTCCTTCAGTGAAGAGAAAAATCCTATTATGGTATGAAATATATGTAAATTCCTCTGCTACTTCAATTCAAGCTAGGCTATTGGGTGCAGCATTTATATTATTTATTTTATTATCAGAAGTATGTAGCACAGCTCCGGCAGATGAAAAAGGATGGTCAATGCCAGTTTGCTTTTGACCATATAACCCAAACTTATTTTCTCTTTCACATTTTTTTTCTGTATTTTGGTATCTCCAAATTACAGTCCCTGGAGAGGACTATGGATAAAACATAATGATTTATGTATTTGCTAATGAATTATGAAAT